TGAATTCATAAGGTTAAAAAAGACAATTCCATACCTTGAATTCAACCCATGAATAATTGAGTTTGTATTCTAAGATTTAATAATCAAACTTAATTACCCATGACATGAACACTCCTAATTATAACATGAGGAAGTAAAGCAAAATTCAAACGCAAATGACAAACACCATACTAATAATAAATGATTCAACCTATATGTAGTAGAATTTAGTACCATGAATCCTTAAATTTGAGAGGTACTAAACTTTGTCAAGAAACATAAGTATGAAAGGGACAAATGACAAACACCAGAAGCATGAACTAATAATAAATGATTCAACTTATATAAAGTAGAATTCAATATCATGAAACTTTAAATTTGAGAGACACTAAGCTTTGCCAAGAAATATAAGTATGAAAGGGATAAGAGTTCGCATCTTTCATTTCAAAATGTTAATCACTGTTTTATGAAAATGAATAAATATTTTATTACTTTGTTTGGAAGGAAGAGAGAAAGTAGACTCGTGATGTAATTTCTTGTTTGGAGATTTTATGAGAGGAGGAAGATTTATGCACTCTCATAATCATATTTTTAAAGTTTTTTAAATTTGAAAGGATTCGTATTAACCTTCTTTTCTCTATCCCTTCTCTTCTCTTCTTTTGGCCTTCAAACACTTTCATTCTCTCTCCCTCCAAACTTTCAATTAAAGTCATAAAGAAATTACAAGGATGTGTATAATATTTAAATACTAATACAATCCTGATTGCAAACCTAATTGAAAAAGTTTAAATGCATTCTTTGTGACAAGGTCATGCCTACCTCATTGAATTCTCTATGTAAAAAGGAATTATTGATACCAAGTTGTTCTAGGAACTAATTATAAATTATAGTTAGGCCTCCTACAACTCTTATTGTAGTTAATTTAACCATAAAAAAAGTGTCAAAATAATCAACTCTTTCAAATTTTGTGTAGCCTTTTATCACTAATATAACTTTATTCCTCTTAATGCTACCATTTGGCAGAAATTTAATTTTACAAACCAATTTAGATTTAATGAGACTTTTATTAAGTGGAAAATCAACCAGTGTCAAAATGTTGTTTTGCTCCTAGACGTGTATGTTTGTATCCATGACTTGCTAGGCTTGAGAATAAGTTTGGGGCTTAATCAAGGAAGAAATATTAAAACAAAAAGATATATACGAAGGAAAGCATTTATCGTAAGTGAGGAAGTAGGGATGGAAACATGCTAAGATAGACTTTACTTTAAACATGCTTGACTTGTAAAATAATTATTAGGCCTGAGCTAAAAAAAGAAATATTGATATTAATGAAAATATAAATATTTTATTATCAAATTAGTTTACATATTTTTCTACTTTTTATCAGTGTTATTGATAATTATTAAATAATTGTAATAATTTTTATATAATTTTATAAATAATTTTTAAAATATTATTTGAGCACTAATTATAAATATTTCATATTAAATAAATTTTTATTTTTATTTTATTTATTTATTTTTAAAATTATTAAATTATTAAATATTTTAGTTTTTTTTATGATCATATTTTATTTGTTTAAAGACATCATATATTTAATAAATAAAGTCATAGTAAACATATAAAATTGATCACAAAAAATAACATTCACATAATTTGTTGAATCAGCTGAAAGAAAATTATTATATTTTAAAAAATAAATAAATTTAAATTTAATGTAATATATATATATATATAATGAAAATTATAATAACTATCAAATTAAAAAAATAAAATAATTACAAAATATTTAATTTTATTTATTTCATTAATTTGTTATTTAAAATTAATAAATACATGTAAAATTAACAATATTATAACATTAATATAATATAGAAAAATATTAATGATATAATAAATTAAAATATATAATTATATATATAAAATATAAATTGATAAATTATCTAATAATTTAATTTTTTATTTATGTAAATATTTGTGAATTATTGAATTTCAAATGTATGTTAATAACTATAATTAAAGTATTAAAAATTTTAATTATTTTTTAAGATAATTATATTTTGTTTGTGTAAAGACATCTTATATTTAATAAATAAAATCACAGTAAACACATAAAATTGATAACAAAAAATAATACTCACAAAATTTGTTGAATCAGCTAAAAGAAAATTATTATATTTAAAAAAAGTAAATAAATAGTCATTATAAAGATTATAGATAAAAAATATTTATATTATAAAATTTAAGGATTTAGAAAAATAACATATAAGCATAGTAAGAATTAATAAAATATATTTAAATTAAAATAACTTATATTTCTAAACTTTTATCTTAATAAAAAAAATATAATAAATCTTAATATATATATATATATATATATATATATAAATAATGACAATAATAATAACTATTACATTAAAAAAATATTACAAAATATTTAATTTATTTATTTTATTAATTTTTATTTTATTATATAACATTAATATAATATAGAAAATATTACTGATATAATACATTAAAACATTATATATATATATATATATATATATTATAAATTGATAAATTAATTAATAATTTAATTTTTTTATTTATATTTTTTTAAATATTTATCAATTATTGAATTTTGAATGTATATTAACAACTATATTTTTTAAGAAAAATTATTTATATCTATATCTAATTCATGAAAAATAATTATTTAAAATTTGACATATTTAATTTTAAATATATTGTTGTGTGCTGTGTATATGGTATGTAAAAAAAATTTATATGTACTTTACTAAAAATATTTATAATAATAAAAATAAAATACATATTAAGTTACAAAAAGCATATAATATTATATACAGTTTATTTAAAATTATATTATTTATATTATTTACTATATGGTCCTATTAGATATATATATTATATATGAAATTTTTTATTTTATTTTTCTATTTTTTTTATAAAATTTTATTTTTGAATAAAATATAATTTATATTTAAAGAATTTTTATTTATTATAAAGAAAAATAATTAAACATAATATATTAATATAATAATTAAATAGTAATAATAATAAAATTAAGAATATAAAAATTATATTAATAAAATATTATTATTTCATTTTTTAATTTTATTTCGTTCAATTTTGATTGCGTCTTATTCTCGTTCAAAGATTTAATCACTCTTCAACTTATTTAAATATAATAAATATGATAACTTATTATTAAATAAATTTATTATTTAAAAAGTGTAATCGTGTATAAATATTTTTAATTTTTAATATAATATAATTTCTATTTATTATAATTATAAATAAAAAAATTATAACATAATATATTAATTTAATATAAAAAAATTAAAAATATATTATTAAATAATTTTATTATTTAAATATATTTTGACAACTGTATTTTTAAATTATATATATATAGGTTGGCCTTTCAAGTTTAAAAAATTTTAAAAATAGCTTAGGCCAACCTTATTTACTTAAAAAGGCTTTAAAAAAATTTAAGCCTTATTTGTTTATTAAAATGACTAAGTTAAACTGTAAGGCCTTGTCAGACAGTCTGACCTGTTTCTATCCTTACGAAAAAGGAAGATAAAGAATATAAAATAGAAGAAAAATTGCCTTGAAGATAATTAACAAAATATATAAACAATAAATAAAGAGATGTTATAGTCTCTTAAGTAATATGGTTTTTGTTTTGTGGACTACCAGCTGGATTTATGGTAGTTACTAGTGATCTCATTCTCTATCAACAGGATCCGGTGGTTTAGAGAACTCTATTTTGTATAGAGAAATTATTATGAATATTTATCATGAATATCAAATTTTAAATAAATTAAACGTTTGTAAATATATAATTTTTAATTAATATTTATTTATATTTTAAATATATATTGAATGTTAAAATAAAATTGTTCAATGATTTATTAGTTGTCCAATGAATTATTTAAAAAGAACTTTTAATTGAATGATTAAATTGAAAAAAATTAATATTTATAAAAAAATTGATAAGTAAGAGTTACTAACCGAATAACTTTGATTCTCAATTTGGAGTGGGAAGGTTGTTTATAATTTTCGTATAAATGATTTTTCATATAAACTATTACAGAACAATTTTAGTCAATCAAAAAGATGTATAAATATATGAGATTCTTCTATTTTATTCATATAACAATAAAATTATTTTTCATAATCTTATTTTGTGACCGTTGTTAGATTATCATCGTTTAAATAAATATCATATACGCGTACAGAGAGGAAAAAATTTAATGACTTCTTACTCATAAGGATCCATTTTCGTCAACTGTTTTGTTTGTATGCAGAGTTTTCATGTTTCACACCACAATTAACAAAGAAAAAACTCAGATCAGTTTAAGCTCGAGATCATGCGCATGATCCATAAATCTTGCAATCTTTTATTTAGAAACCTCGATGACTCAAATGCTACCCTCGTTAACCATCTTAAAAAGCAAATAAAAAATGTGACATCCCACCTACTCACGCATTGAACGTCAATGAGTCAAATACCTTTTAACATTTTACTAAGATTGGGAAATGAGTTTAAGGGGAAAAATAACAAGAAAGAAAACATAAATGCTTTATTTTTAATAAATATTTTCATATATGAATATTAATTTTATATATTTTTTTATATACTAATACAATTGTCTTAATTTTAACTTCCAAAACACACAGGAAAAGGACTTAAAATGCTAATGTTTAAAAGCATATTATAAAAAATTATAAATATAATACAAAAATTATAACTAAAATAAACATAACTCATACTAATTCAAAAGTGAATCCAAACTTTTTCGATGTATGCCTGGCATAAATCACATTAATCAACTTTACTATGAAAGATGGTAATTTTCTCGTGATAAAAGATCGCTCAACATCCGAGGGAACTTGTCCTACATGTGAACGGCCACAAAACAATAGAACCTTTATGTTCATGAAACTTCTATATATTATATTTTCACTTCTTTATATTAGAGTTGAGCATGCAACTTTTTAATTTTCACAAAATGGCAGCTGTTTTGCTGTGGTTTTTATGTGCAACCACTCTCACTCTCAGTTCATGTATGGGATACAAACACATGGACCTTTGCAATGGGAAAGATGAACATGAACTTCTAGTATTTAAGCAAAGCATCAACGACCCCTTGAAGTGGCTCTCATCATGGTCCACTGAAGAAGATTGTTGCAATTGGATTGGTGTTCATTGTGACAGCATCACAGGTAGAGTCTCAAAGCTTGACCTTCGTTGTCCACTTGGTGATATTCAATGTTTAGAGGGTGAAATAAACTTTTCTTTATTGTTCAAACTCGAATTCCTAAGCTTCTTGGACTTGAGTTTTAATAACTTTAAGACTATTCATTTACCACCTATTCATTCTGTCAATTTCTCCAATCTCCTATATTTGGACTTGTCAATGAACTATAATCTCCACATGGAGAATCTTGGGTGGCTGTCATGTCTTTCATCTATAAAATATCTAAACCTGAGTGGTGTATTTCTCAAGAATGAAACACTTTGGCTTCAACAAATGACTATGCTCCCTTCACTCATGGAATTAAGGCTGAGTGGTTGTTCCCTCAGTGGTGACAATCTTTCTCTTGGGTATGTCAATTTTACTTCACTTGTAGTTCTTGATGTTTCCAACAACTCTTTCCACTCTAAGGTACCCAAGTGGCTATTTAATCTTCAACATTTGAGGTCTTTAATTTTGGGAAGCAATAGTCTAAAAGGACATATTCCCAAATGGATGGGTCAATACAAGCGTTTAGAGCAGCTTGATCTTTCTAACAATTTGTTGTCTGGTCCCATTCCTTCAACCTTTGGAAATCTATCATCATTGAAATCCCTGGATGTTAGTTTTAATTACTTGAATGGTAGTCTTCCAAGAGATATTTGGAAACTTTCCAAATTGGAGGTTTTATCCATTGGGTATAACTCCTTTTCAGGCATCATATCTGAGCTTAGTTTGACAAACCTTTCAAACTTGAAGTCATTAAGCCTTGACTCCTCTGATTTTATTTTTGATTTGGGGTCCCACTGCGCTTGAAAAGATTAGCATAAGCTATTGCAAAGTAGGTCCTAAGTTTCCTTCATGGCTTTATTCACAAAGATCTCTTTCTTATCTTGACATTTCAAGTTCAGGGCTTTCATTCAATGTCCATGAGGATTTAAATTTCTGGAGCTTTGTTGCACAAATTGACAATGTATTTTTATCCCACAATTCAATTAGTGGGGACATATCTACCACATTGATCAACAACACACAACTTGATCTAAAATGGAATAACTTCAGTGGCAAGTTACCCCATTTGTCTCCTAAAGTTATCTTCTTTGACATAGCTAACAACAGCTTCTCAGGACCCATTTTTCCATTCCTATGTCAAAGCATGGCAAGGGAACATCACTTAGCTGTTTTGGACATGTCACACAATCTTTTATCTGGAGAGTTACCAAACTGTTGGATGAAGTGGCAATCTTTGATCCATGTGAATTTAGGGAGCAATGATCTATATGGTAAAATTCCTGATTCTATTGGCTCGTTGACCCAACTTCAAACCTTGCGAGTTCGCAATAATAGTCTGTTTGGAAATATACCAGCTTCACTCAAAAGTTGCAAAAGCTTGTGGTACCTTGATTTGGGGTTGAATGAGTTCACAGGGAATATACCAACTTGGTTCACACACTTGAGTATGGCCATCTTGTTAAGATCAAATAAATTCAATGGTATTATCCCATTACAAATATGTGAACTTTCAAGTCTCCTAGTACTTGACCTTGCAAATAATAAACTTTCAGGACCAATACCAAAGTGTTTATATAACATTACAACAATGGTTACAAACACTGTTGATGAAGGCTTGTTTATGTCTTACTTTCGTAATTGGTTTTTGGTTCCAATTTCTGTGAGATCAGACCTAGAGGATTTACCCTTGTTTATGAAAGGCCAAGAATTGAACTATTGGCATGCTTTGAAATTTGTGCACAGTGTTGACCTCTCTAATAATGACCTTTCTGGACCAATCCCTTTAGAATTGGTTTGTCTCGGTGCTTTGCAGTCTTTAAATTTGTCACATAATCGTTTGGAGGGAAATATTCCAAGTGGGATTGGAAACATGAAGCTTTTGGAGTCTCTAGACCTTTCAGGAAACCAACTTTCAGGTGAAGTTCCACAAAGCATGTCAAATTTGTCATTTCTAAGTTTCTTGAACCTGTCTTACAATCATTTCATTGGAAAAATTCCTCTGGGCACCCAACTTCAGAGTTTTGATGCATTTAGTTACATTGGCAATCCACAACTTTGTGGTGATCCTCTTCCAAATAAGTGCACTCAAGAAGGGACACCTTATTATGGCTTAAAATCAATGGAAGACAAGGATGATGATGATTTTACATCTTGGTTTGAAATGGGCATGGGAATTGGATTTGCTTCAGCATTTTGGGGCGTTTTAGGCATCCTCTTCTTTGTTAGGAGATGGAGGGATTCGTATTTCCGAGGCCTTGATAATCTTTATTTGAAAGTAAAGAGGATATGTTAAATGCAAGACAGATTTTGCTTTTACCCAGGTATATATTGCTGTACTGGACTTGCATATTCTTGAACTGTTACATTTGAATTTATATTCATGTTTAGTAATGTGTGTTTTGGTAATTGATACTTAAGAAAGTGACATCAAATTAATTCTTAGGTTTTATTCTTGTTAGTAAGTTAGTTCTTGAAGAAGATGATATTGAAGCCATTGATTATTATCCGTAGGAATAACTTGAAGTTGCTAGTCAATTGCCATATCCCAGTTCTAATATTTAAAATTAGTTTATCGAATTAATATGAGAAAAAAAAAGTATTGATAGATTAAGTTTCTAAGTTTGATAAGTTGGATTAGGTTATGTTGTGCTTGCATTTCACATTTGTTTATGAAATGATACTTGACAAATACTAATGCTTTTCATGAATATGAATTAACTTTACATAGTTAATTATAAGAAGTTAATTTCAGTATCACTCATTTTTTTTGTATATTTGGAAGTATAATTTTGATGGAGAATGAAAAGGAGAATATTTTCTTTTAAAAAAAAATACTGCAAATCATATCACATTTTATAGATATAAATAAAATATTAGAACAATAAATTTATGTTAATCTATTATTTTATGTTTAAAAAAGATTTATCAAAATAGAGAATATTTTTTGAAAAATATGTTATTTTTAAAATTTTTTTACTTTCAAAATCCAACTCTCAAACCTGTTTTAAAGTTAATGACAAGATGAAATTATATGAGATAAGGATAAATTAAATCAAGGAGAGATTAAAATAAATTACAAAACAAATTATAAAATTAGATACGATAACAAGTAACAACAATAATAATTAAAGATTCTTTACCAGCGAAAACAAATTTTCATCTGTTAATAATTTTTTTAATTATAATCGGATAAATTTTTAGAGAAACTCTAATAAAATATAGAATAAAAAATTTATTTCATAAATTAAAAATAACTTATATTTTTCTATTTTTTAAAAATTTAAATAAATTTTTCATTTAATTTTTCTAAAACTTGAAAGATAAATTATTTTTAATTTATGAAAAAATTATTTATTTATTATATTAAGCTTTTTCTTGTATAAGGATTTTTCTAAAAATTTACCTAAATTGGATTATATCAAATTAAGTGTAAAATTATTAGTTCTGTAATTGCTTTAAATTTACTTAAGACTCAGAATATTTTAACTAATGTAGTTAAAGAGTAAAAAGCTTATGAATAGGTATTATTTGAAAGAGCTTACAAAAAGTTGATAAAATTTATTTATTTTAATTAAATTTAATAATTGCTAAGTGTAGTTTGTTAAAATATTTTTGTTTTAACTTTATTTTAATAATTTCTTTTATCAAAATTATGTTATAAACTTTACTGTTATGAAATTTTTTGAATAAATGTTTACTAAACTATTTATCAAAATGCACCTTATATATGTTTTTCTTTTGTCTTAATTAAATATATCACAAGTATTCTTTTTATCTCTTAATTTAGAATAATTTTTATTAATATCAGTCGTTAAGCAAATCATTTAAAAATGATAATTTTTTTAAAAATAAAATATTTATTACACGAGTATTCTATATATCATATTTTAAAATTTATAAATAATAATATTTATAAATAATAAACTCTCATATAAGTCTAATTTTTAAAGAAATTTTAAACATACTGATGATAAATAAAATGTAATATTATTAAATTGTGAATATCTTTATAGCATTAATAAAATATTTTTATAATTAAATTTAATTAAAATATATAAATTAATTTATGTAAAATTGACTATACCTATTTATTACTTTATATATTTGCAACAAAATTTATGATTATTAAGCTTTAGAATACTTAAAAGTCACATATAATATTTGTAACATGAATGATTAAAATGGATAATAGTACATGCTAAAAATAGAACAATAAATTAACCATAAATTACATTTAATAAAAATTTATCAAAACTGATTACAACATTTTATACATTTTAAAAATTTAAATAATAATTGATTCATAATTATTACATCTGAAGTATATTTAAGGAAAATTTATTAGAATTAATTATATATAAAATTTTTACGTAAATAGCTATAACGGAAATAAAAAATTGACAATAAATTGTATTTAATAAAAAAATATTAAAATTGATTACATATAAAAATTAGAAAAGCTCACCATAAATTTTAAAAATGAAAAAAATATTACTTAAAATTGTACAAAAATAGCCTCACAAAAAATAAACAAACTAGTTACTATTTTATTAAAAATAAAATCATATAATTTATTTTAAGTCTTATTTAAATTTAAATGATATTGACTTAAATAATTTTATTAATTATTTTAATATATTTAGTATTTGAAAGTGTGTATTAAAAATTAAAATATATTTGAAATAAAAAAACTACACACACTCATAAAATCATAGTTTTGTATTGTATATTATTAAATTATTTTTGATAAAAAGACAAATAACGTCTAATACAGATAAAAATATAATATTTATTAAATTAATTTTGTATCTTCTAATATATTACCAAACATGTCTTTATCTCCACCTATATAAGTAATTTCTACATAATTTTTTAAAATTTGCCAATAATTCTTCATATTATATTACTTTGTATTTGTATATTACAATTATGTAAATTCTCAAAAGTCATTTGTTCAAACAAAATAAAAAAAAAAAAAAATATATATATATATATATATATATAAATAAGCTCGTATATTTTATTTTGTTGCAAGAAATTATATAAAAGTATTTTTTATTTATTAAATAAATATAAAATTACATTATTTTTAAGTGGTATCATATATTATATATATTTTTATCTTATTAAATTTCTGTTAAGTATGTATTATAGGTAATGTTTTTATTTCTACATTAAGATCAATAAAGATTTTTGTGAATATTGATATTATAAAATATTACTCATTTTATAGACTCATTCAAATATAGAAATTATATTAGTTTTTCTTTTTATGATAATTATTGATAATACTTTCATTTATCTTTTTCTAACTAAATTTTTAATCATATATTGTCACTTTAATATTGAGATTTAAATTATGCACATACTATTGAAAATATTGATATTATAAGATTTGTGATTTTTTTTAAGTATGAGAATTTCAAAAAATTATGTAAAATTTTGATCATGGTAAAATAAAATAGTGATATGGTAATTTAAATTAATTTATTAGTATTTTTTTCTTATTCATCCTTTAACTAAAATTAATTTTTAATTAAATTTCAAGAGTGGTGTTATTTGTTTTTAAATGATAGATTAGTGGTTAGAAATTTAAAATTATTAAATTGAAAGTAATTAATTATAATAATTGTTAGATTTGTATATTTAATATTTTTATTTTATAATAAATAAATAAATAAATAAATAAATTATAATATTTTAAATCTAACTTAAATTTGAATATTATATTTACTTTTTATATATAATTTGTTTTAAAAATGAATCAGAACTCTACAACTTTTTAATATTTCCTTCATATTATAAAAGACTCAAAGGATCGCAAGAACAATGATTGTAAAATTGTAAAATGTGTGATTATAAGACGTGAGTCATAACAAATTGATTGATGTAATTATAATACATATATTGTAATACATCAACGTGTGTAGTTATAATACTTGTATCGCGATGCATCGATTGATATAAATATAACGCACGTATTATGACACATTGATCTATGTAAGAATATATGAAATGACATAGTCTTAATGCATATATGCTGAAATATCAATGATTTAATGTTATAATATTTGATCTATTGTAAATTTCTTAGTATAATATATGAGCTAACATTATTTTAGTGTATATTATATTTAATGATGTTTCTGTATGATTTGTTTATTTGTAAAATAAAAGATTTAGTGAGATGGAGAATACTTATTTTTACAAATTATTTTTCAGAAAGTGAAATTAAACAAATAAAAAAAAAATTGATTCGATTTAAAATCATATTCTTAGTGAGATTGTAAGAAAGAATTACTTTGTTAAGGTTTAAATGAATTTCAAAGATAGTAATAATTTTAATTAAGTTTTCATTTAAAATTGACAAGAATATGTAATCATTTTTATATTATTTATTATGAATGTATAATGTTTTGATAAGTTTTATTGTAATTAATGATTTAAAATACATATGTAATATTTGTTAGTTAGTTATTTTAATTGTAATTTACATTTATTTTTGTATAGAAATTTATTCTGCTAAAAGGCAATATTATCTATGTTTTAAGCTTATACGTATGTTATACGAAATAAGTAAATTATCAAGATAAAAATTTTAGTTTTTACTCTATTTATAAATTTAAAATTTTGAAACTATTTCTTATAATATTTTTGAAACTTTTAATTTTTGTTATAAATTAAATAAAAGAACTGTGAGTTTTACTTATTTTAAAATTCTTTAAGCCATAAATATAAAGAAATATACTTTACTTTTCCTCCTTCTTATAAATTATTATCTATATTAAATGAAAAATTAAAAATGTTACACGAATTAATTTTTAAAATATTATAAAAATATTTTTTCTAATACTTTCAATATTAATACTTCAAATTATATTTATTTATTAATATTTTATATTCTAACTATGTTGTTATTGAAAATTTTTATATTATAATTGGATTTTAAATGCTTTTAATTTTTTTTTTGAAGTATTCAATGTTATAGACTCACAATTTATTCTCAAATTATAAATTAAATTATATATAAAATAAAAATTAAAATAAATATATTTTTGTATTGATATAATTATTTATAATATCATATTTTAAAAATTAATACTTATTTAAATTTTTTAAAAAAATAAAATTAAAATCTCTAATTATTAATATACTTTTAATTACTATAAGTCAAGTTTAAATAAGTAATTTTACAATTATAAATTAATAATTGTATATATAATTTTTTAAATAAATTTATTTTAATATTTGTTTCACTTGATAAATAAAAACTATATTGGATCTTACTTTAGT